TATTAACATTTTTATAATATTAATTTAAATAATCTTTTTAAAACAAAACTTGTGTTTTTTTGCTGGTTTTTGCTGTATTTATTTTTCTTGTATTTATTACTTTAATGTTTTGCTATAAAAAATAACCTGTGGTGCTGATGGGTATAGTACGCTAACTGTTTTCAAGGTATGCCGTGTTTTGGAAAAGTCAAGGTTTTTAAACTGCCAAATTTTTCTGCTTTACCTTTTATAAGGTATGTGCAAGATTTATTTTTTTTAGCTTTTTGTATTGTTTTTTAAAAATATATCCAAGGTTGCCATTTTAAAGAAAATCAGTGTTTTTGAAACTAATGAAGACAGCAGAAGTCAATGATTCATTTGAATTATTTAGCTTTGTTTACTGTTTCAAAATATTAAAAAAAAGTTAAAATCTATTGTGTTCAAAAGGGAAAAAGTTGTAGATTTTTTTACCCAGACATTTAGAAAGAATATATTTTAGAGCAGTAATCACAATACCATGAAATATTTATCCTAGTCAAAATTTTAAACAATGTCAAAATCTTATACCGGCCATGCCTACAGTAGGTGCTGGCATGGCATCAAAAAAAAAAAAAACTCTGGCTTAATTAAAAATAGGCAAAATCTTGTTGTGTTCTAGTCTTTGCTGTAGGCTTGCCTTAATTTTTGCTTTTTTTTGTGTGTGTGTGAGGTATTAATGCAGTGTTTTTTTCTTTATGTGGGACTTGTATTTCCCTGTAGACCTGACAGGAAAGTGTGAGCGGCTTTTAGCTGCTTGGTATCAACCCTGAGTGCAAGAGAAAAAAAAAACACAGGAAAGATGCGATTGTGTGTGTGGAAGTGTGGGAATGTGTGAGGATGTCGTCACCACGGAGGCCGGCGTCTGTGTTGTTTTCTGACACTAACTAATGACCTGCACAATCTCTGTGTTTCTGTATTGTTAGATTTACGAGCTTAGCGGGACGCCTACTGCTGTTAGTCCTACCGGCCCTCGTCAGTTCTTTAAGAAAGGAGGAAGCTTTGACTGGGATTTATGGCCCGGACAGGACAGAGAAAAAATAAAAAACCATCATGTACAGACAGAGCTTTGTTTTTTCCATTGAGCGTTTTGGTCTTATCTACAGTGGACGTTAGGTAGGGCAAAGGTCTAGAATGACACAGGAAGTAGCACATGTTGCCCTTTCTGTTGATTAGCTGCTTTGATTTTCTGCTTGTTCTTTTTTCTGTTTATTTATTTTATCTTTCTGCCAACTTCTGTGATGCTGAGTTTAAAGAAGAATCAGCTTGATCTCTTAAGATTGCATATATCTCGGATATATCTTTTCCTTCAACATTGAAGTATTTTCTAGACAGTTTTCTTATATTTCATTGGAACTATCTAAATGACTAATTTTAATTAAAACTAGATTTTTATAAATTTCACATTATTTAACTGTAATAACTTTTTTATTGTATTTTAAAGTTGCATTGTAAACAGTTTTGTATATTTTACAGTAAACATATACAATACTGTAAATATAGAGCAAGATAAATGGTGCTGTAAATGGAAATACAGTATTTTTGCTGTATTTACCTTTCATTAAAGTTGTCTTAAAACTATTCAGCCAACACTCAATCTTGTCTCAGGACAGTTTTAGAAAACCTTTTTTGATCCTCTTCAAATGTTGACTACTGTATACATTTTCATAAAAGGGATAATCCACCTAAATAAATTCAAATTACCTCATTTATTCCCTTCCAGGGTGAAACGTGACTCAGTAGTTAGAACTGTCGTCTCACAGCAAGAAGGTAGCTGGTTTAAGTCTTGTCTGGGCCAGTTGGCATTTCTGTGCGTTTCTTATGGGTGCTCCGGTTTCCCTTACTGTCCAAAGACATAAAGTTGAATTAAATAAACTAAATTGGCTGTAGTGTATGGGTGTGTGTATTTTCCAGTATTGGCTAGCAAGGTTTTCCGCTTCTTAAAACATATGCCAGAATAGTTGACGATACATTCTGCTGTAGCGACCCCTGACAAAAAAGGGACTAAGCTGAAGTAAAATGAATGAATTATTCTCCTTCATCTTTTATGAGTTTATTTTTTGTTTTTTTCTAAACACAGAAGAACATATTTAGGTAAAACATGAGTTTCTGGCACCCATCAACCTCAATATTAGGAAAAATAACACTATGCAAGTCATTGGGTGCCAATTAACCATCATTTTCCCCGAATATCTTCTTTTGTGTTCAACAAAAGAAAGAAACTCAAATAAGTTTGGAATGAAGTGAAGGCTGAGAAAGTGATGGCAGAAGTTTCATTTTTGGGTGAACTTTCCCTTTAACACATAACCACATTGTTTAACCATTGCTTTTGGCAATGATTATTTTCCAATTGTACTGTATTACTTAAATATAGAGCAAGACAGACAGTGAGCTAATGTGTTTTATGATTAATTCCTCTATCAGACTGCAAAATGGCATGATTACCCCTCTGGTGTAGATTTCAGTTTAGATTTTGACTGTGTCCTGTTCGGACTCAAGCTCCTGTCACTTTGGATCACACTGTGAGTAGCCAGTTTCCCGGCACAGCAGCACTGAGATATTCTTCTGAAAGTGCACACGCTTTCTCTTTTGCTTCTTCGCAGCAGCTGTTCTCCATTTGTTCTCCCGCTTGCTGTCGCATGATAAGAGATTGTAAAAGAAAAGTCCCCATCCATTTTGAGGATTTTAATGTCTCCCTTGATATCAGTTGCTGAGGGGTTAGTCTTGTTGTCGATCTCAGTGGAGGTAGCAGGGTTTTTTTTTAATGTGCTTACCTAGACGCTTATTCTCGAAGACAAAAAAAAAAAAGAGCAGGAGCAAGGGGAAAAGAGATCAAAAGAATCCCACAGAGAGACTTGCTTCACAAAGGGAAAGAAACATTTAAGAAAGTAAAAATAAAAGGGCCCTCGTGGGTCATTATTCTCTACTTTCTCAGATTCCCCACCGGGATATGCCGTACTGTCGTTGTTTTGGGAAAGCTCAGGACAGAAGCACATGGGTGCACTATTACGGCTTTCCTATGCTGTTAAAATGCTGATGTTTCTCTTCGTATTCCTTCTGAAAAGTGCAGATTTAAAATAGTTTTGCTCGTATTTACTTTGTATTTTCTTTTTCATTTCCTTTAAAACTAGTTTTAACACATTTTAATTTGTTTGTTTTTCTTTGTTTTTATGTTCTTATACTTGTTTTATTTATTCTTGTTTATGTAAAACACTTTGAATTATTGTTGTGTATGAAACGTGCTATTTAAATAAACTTGTCTTGCCTTTGTACTTGCATACATCTTTAAAAATCTGTTGGTCACTCTTAGGTCATGTAAGGTTTTACATTTACTGAAAAAAATTTAAATGTACTGTTTATTCTGTTGCACACAAGAAAGTATTCTGGATATTTGGAAAAATGTTAGAACCTACTGTAACAATTGATGTCCGTGGTAGGAAAAACAAATACTGTGGAAGTCGATGGTTACAGGTTTTCAGTTCTCTTCAGAATACAGTGGTCCCTCATTATTTGCCGGACACACATACAAATAACCCACAGTAGACGAAAACCGTAGTCAGCTTTTTTTTCTACAATATTATAGATGTTTTAAGGCTGTAAAAGCCCTTACTACACACATTATACACTTTTCTCAGACAGACATTAACATTTTCACACTTTTCTGTTTTGTTTAAACACTTTCAAAATTCAAACCTTTGTAGGAAAATATGTCCAGTATTACAAAATGAAACAACAGATCAAAACCATTTGATCTTCATTTATTAATTCTGAAATGGCGCCCTACAGCCACATAACTTCTCTTTTCCTTGCATGACCGGAAGTTCAACTTTTTGTGCGATGTTAGCATCTTCCTCTGCCTTTTGGGTGCTACCCCAGGTGTCTTTGACGGTGCAGAACCTTTGTCAACATTGTGGGGAAAACTTGTAAACACACTGTACAGTACTTAGGAGCCACACTGCTAGCGATCAAATCAAGATTTATGTCAATTTGACAAGCTGAACGCATTCTGTACTGTACAAGAAACACGGCAATGTGCTAATCAGGACGCAGAACACAATGCGCTGTAGAAAAAAGCTTGTCAAATTGCACAAAGCTGCGAGGTCTTAAAAAGTGAACTAAGAAGAGGAGAACATGCAAACTTCAAACAGAAATGCCAACTTACCCAGTTGAGGCTTGAACCAGTTACCTTTTTGCTGTGAGGCGACAGTGCTACACACTGCGCCACCGCACTTCCATTTTATATTTGAATACCTTTAAAAGTAGTAATATTAAGTGAAATAGTAACTAACAACGTTTATTTATGGACTTGATTTGATTAAGGGTTTCATTTTCATGTAATTTTTGTTATTATAGTGCTAATCACATTAATCTTTTTTTTTTTATGTGAATGTATCAGGTTACCCCTTTCTGAATTAAGCCACTTATTGGCTTGACCACTTGAATAGCAGCAAATTGCACATAACAGTGTAATTCACAAACACTTGTGTGGCAGATTGTCGCTCTCAAATAAAGTGGGATATTTTTTTTTTACTTTGTTGTTAGCGCTCTTATCCGGGTTGGCGGGAGGGTTTTCTCAGACAGACTTGGACCCTGGGCCGCCCACTGCACTATCAGAGATCAGAAACGCTGCATCAAAGAAGCAGCCAGGCCCCATTCGCGTCTGCTTAAACTCACCGCTGTGGCTCTACATGTATCCCACTCGGCTCTGACAGAAAACACGCAGCCGGGGCGTTTAGTGCTCAATGGCGTTCATTTAGGAGTGTAATGATAGCATTCGGCAGTATGGCTGCCAGCTCACTGAAGCCTCAAACCTCTATTCAGTGCAAACGTCTGGCATTGGAGTGTTCTTGACCTTGAGGTTTTACATCTCTGTTGGCTCTCATCTGAATGATAGTGTGCTCTGCTTTGAGCGAAAGTGCTTCTTTTGAACGTATTCTTTAATTCCGACACTCATGTTGTTTTTCTCTCTTTTGTTTCCTCTACAGCAAACTCTTCTCTGCTTGGTGGTGGAGGAGGTAAGTGTCTGGTCTTTTACTATGCATTCATTGTGACATCATTTGGAAGTGCTAGGTGGATATGACACATAGGGGTTAAGTGATTTGACAAAGCAATGCAATCAATTAATATTTTATACCACTGAAGAATTATTAGCCCTCCTTTTAAATTTTCACTTGTATTTATACTTTTATACTGTATATTTTTTCCCCAATTTCTGTTTAACGGAAATTTTTTTCAACTAATTTCTGAAGATAATGGTTTTAATAACCAATTTTTTAATAACTTTTGCCTTTTATCTTTGTTATGATGACAGTATCATATTTGACTAGATCATTTTCAAGATACTAGTATTCAGTTTAAAGTGCAATTTAAAGGCTTAACTACGTTAATTAGGTTAACTAAGCTAATTACTGTGCGTACTGTGCGTACACCGAAAGTTGCAAGAGCGTCAAAGTAGCCAGAAGTCATTTGTTTTCAATGGGAGCCGCCGGCGATACGAGTCGAGGAGTGGCGGACTGCATCTTTGCGGTGTGGGCGTCGAGGAGAGTTGAAATCAAGTCAACTTTACGGTAATGAACTATGATGTGGTTCGGCCGCAAGCAGTCAGACTGTTAAAGTCCTCAGTTTGAGAGGATTCCAGAGAACACATTTCTGTTAACTTTAGTTCTGATCACAATTGATCAGCGGATGCCTAAGTTCCAATTATTTACGATGTGTTCTTACAGGGACATACAAAAAAGAAAAAAAAAAAAAAAAAGCTACTGGCGAGTTGATGTGCATTAATATTTTCACATATTATTAACATTATATATTTTTAAAGGCTGGAATCTCATTTTAACTGACTACAAAACATTATTGCTGCTTCAGAGTATTTCAGACATATGGACACATTGGATCAAGTGGAGCAAAGCCTCACACAACAACTTAATTTTCCACAGTTAAATGAATTTGGTAAAAAGCGTGCAACATTTTCATGCTACAAAGCATGTTTTTATGCAGGTTTGTAACTGATTTGCTGATATGCTGCAACGGCCTCTTTAAATATGAGATCAATGAAGCGAATTTTGACGCGCTCGCTTTTCACTTTAACTGTATACAGTTTATCAATTATATATAAAGTATTCTATTCTTTTGCTTCAATTTAATAAACTTTGTTGTCTATCTCTCAGGGGTTAGAAAATTGTCTTTAGACATAGGCTCACACACAACAACAAAACATAAATACACTTTCACAATAATTAGAAAATCCTATTTAAAAAAAACAGTGGCAGTGGAAATAAATGTCTTCTTGTATTTAACTTTTTTGCCAAAGGGACTTCATACCATCTACCAGACTTAAAGGAACCATGAAAAGGATAGAAAGAGTCATCCACAATAGTGGAGGTTTTACATTTCATATATTTAGAAATTGAGTCATTCATGTGACCGGATTTCACTTTTTTAAAATGAAAATTTATAATAAAAATTTATAAAATATAAAGCACTTTTTTAACTAATCATTACATGTCTAACATAAAAAAACAAAAAATCTCTAAAAAAAAATCTCAATGCAAACATTTAGTTTGAAGACTGCATCTTTCTCACAATGCTGTTATTTGTGTTTGTGTCTGCATCCAAACAATGGTGTGTAATATTGTGCTTATGTAAATTATGAGTATTTTATTAAGTATTTCTGTTATATATATATGTATATATATATATATATATATATATATATATATATATATATATATATATATATATATATATATATATATATATATATATGGTCGTATTACACAACATTTTTGCCGTCCACTGGCGGATGAAATCAGAGGTGTCCAGCCATGTCTGGGGTTGCCCATGTGGGCGGTTGATGGAGCAACACTACCCAGGCCCTCATTTGGAAACATTTCTGCTCACGCTTTGACATGATTGAAGTAATTACGTGTAAAAACCACGAGACTTGACAGAAGGACCAGAGAAGTGTCGGGGTGTGGGGTCGGGAATCAACCCAATTACATCTGGAATTTTGATCCATCTCACTTTTACACAGGAATCCGTTTAAGTCTCCAGATAATGAATGTAGGTCAGGCGTGTGGCCCTTTTCGCACGATTCATTGTTTATCCATCTGTGCCAGTGTCAGGGAGGGTCCTTCACTTCTGCCACATCTCGCCAGCCAACTGCGCTTGATTGGGTCCCTCAAGAGGACACCGTTACTACGTGTGATACACTATCCGTCTCGCATCACATACACTGCTCTTATGTTATCTGATGTGCTCTAAAAAACCCCTCGTCTTTCTTCATTGTAGCTCTTGTATAGACTCTTATCAGCCACTGTGACCGATTTCCCTGATTGAAGAAGTGGCAAAAAAAAACAAAAAAAAAAACAGCCTGATTAAGGCCAGAGGTCACACGTCTGTGACAAAACTACTTACCACAGCACTTGTCAGTGAATCAGTGTGACCCTGCGACTGGGAGTCAAACGGTTCTGCGCTTTATTGGCACCTCGTTGTATGTCATCATGGTCTTTTTATTGATTTGTCACGATGCAAAACGTCTCGAGGGCAATTTGGTTTCTTCATTATTTTGCTGTAATTGGCTTTTGATATTGGTGTGTGTGTGTGTTGGAGAGGCTATTAGATCAGGTAGGTGATGTTACACTCTGAAGTTGTTTTTTTGTGTGTATCTGAAATGGATTTTTGAAAGGAAATATGCCTGTTAGCCTTACATCTGGAGGTGTTTTTTTTCTTTAAATACGTCAGTCTGCAAATAAACAAACAACAGCAACAACAAAAAAGAGATTATTGTCATGTTCAGCACTGAAGGGAGTTTAATCAAAGCCCGTATCAAGAGCATTGTCTCCTCTAATTGCCATCCCCAGATGCCAGTGCTACAAAACCAATTAACCCGTAACTATAAGGCATTTGGTATAGTGTCAAAGAAGAAAACACAAAATGCTAATCCAAGGTTGGCGACATAAGAAAGCATGTTGTAACATGTGGAAACAGTCACAGTAGTTTGGGGATATTTAGTCTATGTTCACACTGCACAGCACAGTGACATTTTTTGATAGGAAATGACCGACATCAGTTGTACATTAGTTCAAATGTTTTTGGTAATTAATTAATCCATAGCTTTTTAATAGTTACTATCTTGCAAAGACTGCATATATTTGATATATTTATCAAACTTTAAAAAAGATGACATTTTACAATAATAAGAATAATTTATATTATAAATAATATAATATGTTTTATTTAATTTAACTATTTGATTTGATTTTATTTTATTTCATTTTTCTGTTAGGTCAAAACTGAGTTTCCAGCATCATTTCTTCATGCTTCAGTATCACGTGATTGTTGAGAAATAATTTGAATATGCTGATATTCGGGTTAGATAACAGTTCATAATATTATTAATGCTTCAAACTTAAGGGGATTATTTATATCCAGTATTTGTTGATACATTTTTAATATTACCTGATAAAACAAATCCCTTGTAATTTCTCTTGGCCTAAATGTAACATACAATAAACATAATCTCATTTGAGTATCCACCAAATCTACAGATTTTCACTGCCTGTCTGAACAAAGCCAAGTGTAATCCTTTGGAAATAATTGGAAACCATAGCAAAAGCAGGGCTCATATGAGCAAAGCTTCTTGAATGATGATCCAGGCAGCAAGCGATCTTTGGGCTTTTATCTGTAGGAGACTTCAAGCTAAGGTGACTTTTTTTTTTTTTTTTCCCTCTTCACCCTTTTAAAATCCATTTCTCCTGTTTCACTCCAGACAAAGCTCCTCATATCTTTCACACTCTCTCCAGTCTAAAAAAAAAAATCTTGTATGTGCTGGGTGGCTTTATCTCTTGACCCAGTGATATCAGCAACGGGGCGGCAGATAAACAAACGTGTTTTCTTTTCTCCCCCTTTCCTACCGCCTATCGTTTATCGAGGTGAGGACCTCCATCTGTGACGAGTTCATCTCACTCGCTCCTCTTAAAAAAGAAGGGCCTAGGCTTCCTCTTATCTCTGGGAGATTTTTCCCTACCCTTGTTTTGCTTTCTAATGACCTTAGATCTGGCAGAAAACGGACTCTCTAATGTAAACAGAAGGGAAAGTTTCTACTGTATGGAGCTTTGAACTCTGGGTGGAGCAAAAGGCCACGGTCATTTAATTGTTCTTGTAAACCGTTTTGGCTGCTTTGACTTTTCCACCCAGTTTATTGACTCTCTCAGGGTTGCATAGCTGCGGTCGAGCGACTTCCTGTAGTTGAGCCACAAATAAAATGCACAACAAACACAATCAAAATAAAATTGATGTGGTCAGCAAAGTATGTTCTTCAAATGCCACTTACTGGTCATCTTTAAATATTTGATTTCTTAGTCTAAATCAGAGGTTTTTCAACTATTTAGATGAAATGGACCCCCAAATATGATCATTTGATGGACCCTCCACACTTGTTTTTTGCATGTTTGAAAGAAAATATACTATATACAGTACTGCGCAAAAGTCTTAGACCCCCAGTTAAATTTGTTGTTTTACTTGTCATTCTCTTTATTAAAATACAGCCAGAAAATACAGCATCTAGTTGATTTTTTTTTTTTTTTTGGTCTAATTGTTTAAGACATACAAATGAGAGAGTTTAAAAAAATGCAAGAATCAATGAAAAATACTTTCTGTCTTGGTTTGATCTACATTTCTGCTAGAACTTTTATCAATATTGCCTGAATTGATGGGATTATGAATGCTGAAAAGTACAGACAGTTTTTAATTTGTCATGTAATTCCTACTAGAGAGCATCTGATTTGTAATAGTTTTATTTTTCAGCATGGTAATGATCCTAAACACATCGCTGGGCCCACACAGAATGTGCGTGCTGAAATCTGCAGATTTTTGCAGATTTTGAGAATATCTTTGAGTCTATTTATTTACTTGTGTAAATGTTAGTAAATTTATATTTAATCAGTTTTTAAATTAATTTCAGTTGTAATATTGACTAATATGAAAGTGTTCATATGACTTGTTTACAATACAG